CGAATATTTCCACTGTGCTATTACTAACCAAATTCTTGAGTTGCCAGTTGCCACTATTCAGCATAAACTAGTTTAATAGTTAGAGATTTTGTTGTTTTAGAAGACCAGTAATGTCTGTATTTTATTTCTCACCAGCCGTGGAAACAGCCTCTTGCAGAAATGTAGAGTAAGGTTGCGTACAATAGACCCTTGTGGTCCGACCCTTCCCTGGACCCCGTGCATAGCGGGAGCTTAGTGCACCGGGCTGCCCTTTTTACTCCTAGGTTTGTGCTGTATGTCTAAGGCACAATAGAATTCTTTTAACGTTTGTCCTATTTATTCCTCTGTCTCAATTAATGTACTACTGTAGTAACTATCTTTCCTTTTTGGGAAGTTGCAAAATACTTCAAAAAAATTGCAACCTTCACTAGTTTCCAAGAAATTAAACTTGTTTAACAAATTGTATTAAACAATAATGTGGCATTTTCTCTATCAACTAACCTTTAGCTACAATTTAGCAATAGATAAGTCAGATTAACTTCTAAAACTGTGTTTAGTCAATTGTATTACATAAGAGGAGACAGAGAGAATACCATGAGGAGACAGAGGGAACAACATTTAATAAAAAGAGATGTACTTAAAGCCCTTTATTTTTTACTTCACACCTTTATGTGACAATCACAGCTTTCTCCCAAAGAGTGTGCTGATGTAATGCCTGGAAGTGAGATGTCAATGCTGGAACAAGCAGCTGATGTCTCATATCCTTAACTACTATGCATAACTCAATCATCAATGTTAAAATAACCTTATTAACATTTGCTACTTAGCGTCATGACTTAACCATCTGAAAGCAGCGTGCAAGCTTCCCCAGAACAGTAAAAACAAAAAAAAAAAAAAAGAACCTAAAATTGACACAAATCAGAATGTATTGTTTGAGGATTTAATTCCATGTTGAAGCTTGAGGTTAGGTCCAGACTCCAGACTAATCAATGGAACATATAGGTTAGAAGTTCTCTGGTATATAGAGAACGGCCTTGACATAGAAGTCTCATGTCTAGAGCCATGTTTTAAAATCATGACTTCGTGCATTCTTGTAGAGGACTGTGTTACTTTGTGCTCACAAAAATTGCTGTTAGTATTCTGTTATGTGTTTCTCATGTTTGGTGTCTTGGTAATAATCCAATTCATAAAGGCTATTAAAATTTTCCTCATTTATTGTGATCCCAAAAATTGCAAGTTCTCATATTATATAATATATCAGTCTGGAGAAGCTCACTATAACTAATCCTAACTACGAATCTCCATTTTCCTACGGAAGTATACTTTCAGAAGAAGAGAGGGATCCATACAGAATTCCAACTAAACATAATATAAGAATGGCAATGTACTGGCTTGTGCAAGGATGTCAAGCAGGGGATTCTCTGGTGTTTCATTATTCAGGTCATGGTTCACAACAAAGGAACTACACTGGAGATGAAGTTGATGGGTTTGACGAAACACTTTGCCCTTTGGATTTTGAAACTCAGGGAATGATTGTTGATGATGAAATTAATGCAACACTTGTTAAGCCTCTTCCACGTGACGCTAAGCTTCATGCTATTATAGATGCTTGTCACAGTGGTACTATGCTAGATCTACCGTTTCTTTGTAGGATGGACAGGTCTGTAACACTGTACTTTTTCAACTTAATGCGAAATTGTATAATAGGCTAGGTGTTAGGAGGATGAGAATAGAATAGATATTGTTTCTGTTCAATGCACAAATGTCTAATAGCCATAGGTGCTAAAACTAGACTATAATGGATGGCTCTAGTCTAAAACCTTTCCAGAAATATCTATATCTCATATTTGATTCCTTTTGAATATAGAACTGGACGATATGTATGGGAAGATCATCGTCCTCGATCAGGAGCATGGAAAGGAACAAGTGGTGGAGAAGTTATATCCTTCAGTGGCTGTGATGATGATCAAACCTCAGCTGATACAGATGTAAAATTCCTTTATCCTCTTAAGTTCTGAATTCTGGATATGGACGTTAATTGATTCAATGTAATGGGAGACAATTGAATGACCTTTTGATTGATGACAGAGTTTGTCCAAGGTCACTTCAACTGGTGCAATGACCTTTTCCTTCATCCAAGCAATTGAGCACGGACAAGGAACTACATATGGGGCTATTCTAAATGCAATGAGATCTTCCATTCGCAGTTTTGATCATGGTATAGAGGGTGGCATTGTCACATCTCTTCTGATAATGCTGATTACTGGAGGAAGTGTTGGTACTGGAATGAGACAGGTATATTTTGCTAAAAGAATATGTTTGTTTGCTTAATTTAAATGTTTAAATCATAATTCTAGGTAAAAAATTTTAAGAAGAATTTTAGGACTGGATGTGGAATAGGTTCATTTGTAACCAATTGCCTATGGTACATAGAATTGCATGATTGATAGCTTTTACCCATTTTTTTCTTCTCAAGAAAAGTTCTTTTTTTTTCTTCTTCAAATGGAAGGTACTCTTTTCTTTGTTCTCATCAGTACCAGTCCAATCATAAACATTGAAACATAAGTGTCTAGTTATATGGAATCAATATTTGAATGTCAAACGTGTCGTTGTCCTCTTTGGTTGCAGGAGCCACAGTTGACAGCCAATGAGCCATTTGATGTTTACACCAAGCCATTTTCATTATAGCATCTTATCAAGCAAACACTAACAACCGAGGTCTCAACTTTTCATATTATTTTGGGTGTAGAGTTCCTGTACAGTTGTCAGTTATTAAGAAGGCACTTGTAGTGTATTAAGATTCTGAAATTCATTTTCAAACAAGTTAATCATGTAAAAGTCTGATTATCGTAGTAGGAATTTCATCTGCATTGGAGTATTAAGATTCTAAAGTTCTTCAATTTATACAAGTTATATTCATGTAAAACTTGTGATTGTGTAGTTGGCATTTCATCTATACTGCTGGAGTATAGATCAATATCTGTGTGCTTTCCCAGTTTCACATTCTTCATCCCTAGCTTTCCCCAGGATATCAACAGACCATTGAATAAAAGCATAAGTATTAACTTCAAATAATTTACGAGGGCGAACATATTTAAAACAAAGTTTGCCAAAGTAAATGAACTATGCGGACGTCAACAGTAGAATTACAGCTGAAGAGGAGATAAATAAGTAATCTCGTATACTCCTGGGCATTCTTTATGCATTCACATGGGTGTTGTGATCATTTGTGATTCTTGCCACTTCCTCGCATCGTTTCTCAGTAAGATGCACTGTCTCCTGTACCTTAACCTTAAGTCATCCTTGGAAGCCATATCTTGAATCACCTATCAATGCAAAGAAATTATGAACAAAAACACTCAAAGAAAAAATAGAACAGATAATCAAATATCCTTTCCCAAAGAAAGTTTAGGATTCCCATTTTTCAGGACCTACCAAGAAGAAGTTCAAATACCTTCTTTTGACCACGGGAGAACTTAGACCATTTCTTACTCAATCTCTTGCTCGTTTCTCCAAATGAAGAATGCTTGACTTTACTCCAAGTTGGCAATATAATTGCCATCACAAAGAAAGAGTAGGAGGGCTTGACTGGAATTAAAACCACGCCGTTGATGTTCAAGAACTCTTTCCAACAAATTAAATCTCCTTTTTCTGTTCCTCGAAACCAAAGCGCGCCTTGGAACATGCACCCCATAACTGCTGATCGAGGAGAATAGTTCACAGGAGACTAAACTCCACTTCTCAACCTCGTTAGAATGATGTCTCTTTTGCCATTGTTATTGTCACCATATTGCTTTTGAATGGTGTAATTGTGTTCTTGATCCTTATCATCAGGGGTTAAAATGGAATTAGGAGTGGAATCAATCGGGGCTTGAATTTATGTATGTCTGGAAAAGGAACACAAGTGTGAAAATCGATGGAGGTTATGTAATTAATTGTATAGAGAACTGTAAATTGGCCAAAAACTTGAATGGTGTTACAGGGGGCGTCTCCATCATTAAAGCAGAATGGTTTAATCAGTATAGCGCGCCAAGATATGTGTCGTTTCTTATTCACCTTGGCGGTAGTAATAATAAGAAATAACGGATGCGTCTTTCCAGAAAAAGCAACTTCTCAGACTTCGGTAGCCACTTTTAAATCAACCTCTTTCTTCTAATTTTTTCTCTTAATACGTACTACATATTCTCTTCTTTTTCCCCTCTCTCTCTATATATATATATATATTTGGCATTATCTAACTTCTTATAATCATGTACTTCTAATTTCTTAAATTGGCAAAAATGAAAAATAGGCTGACGAAGTTGACTACGGAACTCACTCTAGTCTCATGAGTGAACCTGTAATTGCGATACATACATCTTATAAAAAAATCAACATTTTTCTCAAAGCGAGAAAACATTACTGCTTAAATTAACGACGTAGAATAAAAATTTATCTCACATTGATATCAATATTTTCTGCTTAAATCTATCTGTCAAAATACTTCACCAAGCTACCACCACAAAATTAAATATACTAGTACAGGAAAAAAAATTAAAAAAATACGTTGTTAATTTAGGGCCTGCAATTTGCCAAGCAAGCAATATTTGGACACACGAGCTAATCAAGAAAGCCAGAGCGGCTCAAAAGCAAAACTAACAGGTTGTTTGGATGGGTGTTACCCATTGTATTGTATTGTTACTTTAAATATGTTTGTTTTGATTGTTATGTATATTTTATTGTATTGTATTGTTAAATCCGTCGTTACATAACGACAAAATGTGCCACTCTATGTAACGACCGATTTGGTGTTACCTTGTCTTTTTCTCTCAATCTCACCCTTTATTATTTAAAATAATTTTATTTTATCGTTTACCTTACTTTTTTTATATAGTAATCTTACCCTGTATCATAATCTTTCTTTATAATATTACAAATTTATTCTTTATATTGCCGGTGCGTGATATCATGATTGTAAGGGTGGGTCTATCCAATAGGCCCACTGATAAACGAGTGGCTCTTGGATTTGAGAAGCCGTTCAAGTCCTCCTGAACCGGATGCTAATTTTCAAACCGACTGGCAACCTTTGGATAAAAATACCACCACCATATCCTCTACTTTCTGCAACACTAAGTAATTGCAGAGCAGTGAACTTTTCTTTCTCATGGCTACTGCAACTCATTTTTGTTTCCCTCCACCAATTTCAGTCTCTGCTCAGAAAATTCAAAACGCTAAATTTTTTACCCCCAGTCTCCAGACTACCCAATCTCAAATTTGCACCAGAATTCGTTGCAATGGGGGAGACCTATTGGGCGATTTTGGGGCGAGAGATCCGTTCCCAGCTGAAATAGAGAGTAAATTTGGTGAAAAAGTTTTGGGTAATACTGATACGGAGCACAAAATTCTCATCCCAACTGCTTCTGCTCTGTCCCTTGCTCAGCAAGAGTGCACTGTTATCTCGCCTGGTCAAACTCCTCTCTCGGAGTATGAAGCTCGCCAGCTCCTATTCAAGGTTAGCTATATGAATTACCCAGTATACCCCTCCATGTTCTTTGCTTGCTTTGGAAATTCTGATTTATCTGAAGCTCATTTGTTGCTTGGATAAGAAAATGTTGTCCAGATAGAATAAATATTACTAATACTACTACTTCTCCCATTTTATTTGTTTGATTAGACATGTATTACTAGTCTACTGCATTTGTGATGGTGGAAAAAATATTTTGAAAGTTGTGGTTGGAAATTTAATTTGGCAGTAAACGATCTTTAAAATTTGACTGCTTATATGAATTTGAATTGCTGAATGTTATGGAAGAATAAAATATTGCTGGAAAACATGTAGAACATTTTAAATAGAAAAGCGTGTCATATAAATTGAAACGATGGAGTATCTTTTTGTTGACGTACTAGTATCAATTGAGAGAGCGGACTGTGAGCCTAAATATCTCTTCTTGTTTCAGAACCTAGATTGGAAGAGGCCAAGAGGGCTAGAATTTAATAACGATTCTTGAGAAGAGGGGTAAGGTCTGCGTACACACTACCCTCCCCAGACCCCACTAGTGGGATTTTACTGGGTTGTTGTTGTTAGATGGGACCAGGGTACATTTCTCCTAGGTAATTCAAATTTTTTTTTAAAAAATTTAGAATGTGAGAAGCTAGGCCCCTAGCTTCACCATTTCTCTTCTAACAGAAAACACTTTGAAAAGACCTACACCGGACAGCAGGAATTTCAGAAGGTACTAATAGATCAATGGCTGTTGATGATTGGTTGAATAAAGTACTAGCATTGACTTGAATGAATTAAGTCATGTAAACCTGGTTGTATTGGTGAGAACTGTGGTTTAATAAGTAAAACCTAAGATCTTTATTAGGTTATATTGGATAAACATACATTGTATAATGGATAAACAAAAAGCATTCACGTTTTAACGCACAATCTGTTCTTCAGGTTGTTGGATGGAGACTGGCACATGAAGGTGGGGTGCTCAAGCTACAATGTACGTGGAAATTAAGAGACTTCGAATGTGGGGTTGAACTTATCAATAGAATAGGCAAGGTGGTGGAAGGCACTGGGCACGTCCCCACACTTCTTCACTTAGAGCAGTCCAATCAAGTTCGTGCTGAGCTATGGACTGCTTCCATCGGTGAGTACACTTTTTCAGTCGCTCCTCTCCTCCATCCCCTTCTTTTGTCATCCCTGGCATTGTTCACAAAATCATCTAATAGGGTGTTTTAAGTGATGTCATTAAGAACTTGCAGCAGAAAAGGGTAAGAAAACTTACCAAAATTAGGATTCTTGCCAAACTTGCTCCATCTAGGCATGAAAATGAAAAGCCTCCTTATGAAACAGATATAAGCATGCCGTTTCAATAGAAACCTTAGCGTAGGTGGTTTACCAGAGGAATGTTATTGCTTTAAAAATGCACTAGTAGAAGATAACACTGGGAAATGGCAAAAAACTTACAGAGAACAGTAGTGGTTGTGTGGTTGTGATCAGTCAGATCTTTTGAAAGTTGGATCATTCGCCTTAACAGGATCTGAATCCAAGCGTGGAATTTTGAAATGATACTTTCCCAAATGTCAAATATTTGGGAAATTCTTTAATCTATTAATGTCTATAACCAGACATGCTCTGCTTCCTACCTTTATCACATGCCGATACAATGTGGTTTTCTATAAATTTTGCGCGCTATAATAATTCCTCCTGGAAATATTTAACATCTGATTCCCCCTTCATACTTAAAGAATGTTGTCTCTTGTACTTGTATCAGAATATTTGATGATCATAGTGGTGTACTCTTATTGCAGGAGGTTTGAGCATAAACGATTTCATTGTAGCTGCTAAAATAGATCAGATAAAGACATCGGACCTTGTCCCAAGAAAAAGAGTTTGGGCATAATCAGATAGCTTTGCATTTTGCACCAAATCCGGCTTCCACAATTATATTCGCTTGTTTTTTCGAATTGGACCTATAAAACAGATAGTGATGGTGGTAAAACCTTGTCTTAAGCAAATGGCAAGGATTATCGCAATGATTTTGTATTAACATTCAGAAGCAATAAAATAATATATGTCGTGATTCATTCTAAACAAGTAACAGTCCTACTTTTAATATTAAGTTGTCCCAAAATAGTGTTTACTTTCCTACAACAGAAACTAATTCGACATTTATCTGCCCTATTTCATTTAATTATGAAAAAAGTAATTTGAGACCTATTTTTTTTTTAATTAGATTAAATTTCGAAAAGTCAATTTCATAATCTATTCCATTTATAATCAAGTTTAAACTTCAAATTTAACATGTGACTGGCTTAAGGAAATAAACTTTTGTTTTAAAAAAAAAACCTCTTTTAAGTTTGAAAAAAAAAACCTTTGAAGTTTGAATTTTAAAAAAAAAAAAAATTGGCTAAGCAGCAATGGCAATGATTTTCTAGCAATGACTTTTATTACTCTTTAAAAAATGAAGTGCATCAGAATCTTTTTGTAATGGTAAAGTAAATAAAATGGAATCAAGTAATTAACATAGAAGTAATGGTCCACCATTAAAAAAAAAATCAAACTCTGAACCAATAACATTAATCCATAAAATATATTTAGTACATTCATCCAATAATTAAGCAAAATAGAATCTTTAAACCTCCAACAACAGCAGTAGCAAATGGAGTAAACATTATTACAAACCCAAATAAATATAAGTCTTAATTAAGCAAATAAGAGTAGGCTGTTTCTCGTTTTATTCTAACTCCTTGATAGGAAAGCGGAGGGATGAGACCATATTAAGGCCACTTAAGGGATTATGATTTCGAAGCTATTAAACTTGGGAACGCTACAAATAGGGCAGGCACTCGCAGCAGCAGCACATTTTGCGCAGAGACAAACATGGCGACATGGCCATATCATCATCTTTGCATCTTCTTTGTCACAGGCCTTACATGGCCCAATTTTCCCTGGTTCAGCTCTATGTGGATCAACAAAAGAGGACTCAGCGTCCTCTTGCAACGGCGCCTCAGGGCCGCTGAGCCTGGCGCCTGCACCAACATTGAAAGCACCACGTAAAGTAGCATCTTGGAAAGCTGCTCTCATTCCAGCATTCTGATTCTCCAAGGTTCGAACTCTGTTCTGTAGAAACTGTCCCTGGTAGGTCAGTTGACCGACGACCGCGTCCAGTTCGGCTATCCTCATCTTCGCTTGCCTTAGTTCCTCCTCTTTCTCCTTCAGTTTTGTGCTTGCCTCCTCGTACGCGCTGTTCATTATGTTCTTGTAGTGCCGCATCCAAACATCAAACAACATTTTCCTCACTTGGTCAGCCTGCATTAAATTAAAGTTATAATTTAGACGAATTATGTACGTGAATAGAGGAACTATATAAATAATCATGCATGTGGAAAACACAAATAATGAATAGACGTACGTGGGCTTTGGTTGTCTGTTCGATTTGGTCCTGCACGCGACGGAGACTAGCCGGGCCATAATCTTCTTCTGCTTCAGTTAATAAAGCAGTGTAGGACGTAAAAGGCCTAGTCAAAAACCTGTCCAAATTGTCGGGTTCAGAAGGCTGGGAAGTGAATTGGGAAGGAAGTGGTTGGTTAGGCGCAGCAATGGGGACAGGAAACAAATTCGGAGTTGGATCCACCATCACTTCTTTCATCTTTCTCTTTGAATTCCTTGCATCCGAATAAGGAGCCGCTGCATGCACCAAATTCCAAAAACAAAAAATGACAATATTTTTTTCAGGACAAATTAAAGAAGAAGAGTTTAGAATGTGAAAGGGGGGAGAACTAACATCCGTGCTTGGGAGGCATTCTTGCAGTTTTCTCTGGCGGATGCGCTGTGATAATTCTGCACAATAAAAGAAGAAAATTAAGTGAGATTTGCATGGACGAGACCATTAATATTGGAAGAAAGAATAAATTAAAGAAATGGTTAGAATTTGAACCTGAAGATGGAGAAGAATGGCGATGAGGAGAAACAGCCATAGGGGAATTGATATTTAAAGAGAATGAAATGAAAAGGTGGCAACTCTTCGCCAAGAGCAACGATGGTTTAACATGTCTAATGACGACAACTGCTACTGTCAATCGGTATGATCCCTTTTCCGAAACAGGGCTTTCTTTTTTCCTTGTTCGTTTATCTAATTATCTGAAACAACACCTGCTGCTTTTTTTTTTTTTTTTTGAACAATAAAATTTCAGGGTATTATCATTTAAATTATTTATATTTGGTAGCCGACAAAGTGTATAAAATTTATATATGACATATCGAATGTATATATATATAAATTTTATACATTTTTCGGTTTTTATTTTTATAGCGGCTATACAATGTTATTTTTCCATCATTTTCTTTTATGTTATTTTCCTAGGCAGCCCAAAAATTACACTTAACACAACTTTAAAAAAAAAAATCTTTTTTTCCATGTTAATTTCCTAGGTAGCATTTATGTTGCGGCCAAACGCACACGCAAGTATACGCGGTCGTCAAGTAATAAAGTGACTAAAAGTCGGATGTCGATCCCACGAGGACTTGTGATTAACTATTAACTAAATTAGACTATCCTAATTATCTAAACAAGAATTAAACCTAGAAATATTTGATTCTAAACTAATTAAAATAAATAAAAACAAATAATGAACTTTGGACAGAGAAAGAACAGATTTTTATGATATCAATGTAATAAAAACGATCTAGGGTTATGGGCTATCTAACATTCCTATTGTATTCTTCAATTGAATTGACTAACTAATTTATCGAGTTTATTGGTTGACAGGGTTAATATTGCTCATAAGAATCTGTCGAGTTCTTACTCGCCTATTCAAGCTAACCTAACGCCTATATGTCTATGGAATTAGAATCAACAAGAACGCATTTATAATTCCTGTAAATCAACCAAGCAAGGCAATTAGGTATATGTCTATCCTAACCGCGAATCCGTTCCCCGAGGCCCAGGTTCAAGAACTTGCTCTACTCGATCCTATATGCAATCTAGAATTCCCACTTTCGAGTTCAACTCTAGATTAGTAGATAGTATTTAATTGGTGATCAAGCAATTAAATAATTAAGCGCAGGATTGAATAAATAAACCAATATGATAAACTAAGAAATCAAAATCAATATCCGAATAACAATAGTCATGAAAGAACCACAACCCTAGAACGTGAAGTTTAGCTCCACATAGACATGGTAGCAAAACAACAAATCATACAAAGAAACATAAAAATTACTAAGTTGGTGGAAGAAAAGATGAAACCCGGCCTCCACGGCGGCTCTGTGCTTTTCCTTCGTCAAAAATTTCTCTCAAAAACGTTCTCCTATGTATATATACCAAGTAGGGTTGGGCCCAAACAATTATACCTTCTCCAATGTGAAAAAGGACACTTTTCCCGGGCTTAACTAGCGCTGCAGCGCATTTGACCGCGCATTTGGGCGCGCTAGTTGGCTGACTTTCTGTTTCTGGGCGCGCTAAAACTAGCGCGGTCGCGCATCTGGGCATTTTTCACCCTGTTCCGTTCCGAATTTGGAAAAACGTAAAACATGAAATTTGTAGCCCTTTGAGTTAGCTTTCCAACCATATATTGTAGACCAAAATGGAGTTCTTAGCGAAAAGTTATGTCTATTTTACTAGACAGTGCGCAATCTGCCTACTGGAGTCTTCGTTCGCTCTAACTATCATCCGTTGACCCCCAAACACGATCCCGACTTAATTCCTTGAACTTTTACTCAGACTTCAAAGCTTAAAATCACTTAAATTCATTGCATAACATCTATATAGCTCGGAATCACACCTACAAGGCATAAAACACACAATTAGTGCAAAACACTAGCGATTAAAGCGCAAACTCAACTAAAGTGCAGTAAATTAGAGTGTAATAATCGACTAAAATACGTAATTATAGCCTATCATCAATTTATATTAAAAAAAAATTGGTAGCTCAAATATACCAAACAATAAGGCCTTAGAGGAAATAATGCAGTTCTCTTCAATCAGCTAATGTGCAGACTAGAACCTTTTTTTTCCCTTTGGTTTTATGAAAAAATCAAACATATTATTCCGAGCAGATTTAAGATGTTCAATTTTAGAATTACAATTGTCGATCAAATCGTATTAAAATGAAATACCAAATTTTAAAGAATCCATATGGTCTTTTAACTATTGTTTGCTCCCCTTTTTATTATATCTGTTAACACGCTTCTGACTTATATTTGCTGTAGAACCAGCATTGGTTTGGAAGAAGGCTGGTAGAACTAATTATTTTCGTTGTAATTTGAAGAACTCTAATATTCTAGTAATGCCAAGTATAATTCAGCAATTTCGTGTAACATTAAGACTATATATTCACTAGCGAAATGGCTTTGGAATTTATCTATTTCCAAGAAAAATATTTTTACTGAATACATTGAAAACAAGGGTGTGTTACATATGAGTCCATATCATCCAACCATGTAAATATAGACAATTAATATGAAGTTAAATTACTCAGTCATTTGGGTGCTGCATGTATTGCGCGCTCGTCATAATCATTGGTCCGTATATTTGCCTTGTCATAGGGAAATATATCTAGGGCAATATAGACCTGTTCCATGTAATTTTTTTTTTAATTGTTTTCCTAATTAATTGTAATACCTAAGTAAATACTTCATTAGTTAATAAATTATCCTTCGTTTCTATTTTGATAATATATTTTTGAACTAATTTCCTAATATTTGAAGCGAAACCATATGAAGATCGCCACTCATTTTTGTGTTCTTCGAAAAAATTAATATTACTGTTTCCCGTTGTGGAATAAGGATCGACTTTATTTGCTATTGGCTCGAGTGAGACCGAAGGTACCCATAGATCGGAATCGAGAAAGGACAAACGATACAAACAGGTCTCGAGCATGGTCGAACCCGAAAAGAATCGAGCTCGAGTGAGATGAAGAATCGAGGGTAAAGGAAAGACGGTTAGAGAAGGCAAACGAGGAGCCGAAATATCCGCCATCAACCGGATATGCGGCGTGAATCACGCTCGGTATTGGGTGCTGATCATATTTTCGTGGAAAAGAAGGAAGGAAAAGATTTTTACCTTATTTAGACTTGTATTAGGGTTAAAACTCCTCTACCATATAAAAAGGAGGACCTCTGCATTTTTTGACACTGTTTTGCACGCATATCAAGGCAATAGAATTTATTTTGACTCACGGCAATTGTTCTGAGTGTTCTTCAATTATTCATCATTTAGCTGGATCTGGGCTCTATCTCGAGGACTCGATTGAAACTGACAGTCAGCATTTAAGCCTGATGGCCATTGGGTTGATCGTTTTATCTCATTTCAATTTCATTATTTACTGTTCTTTGATCATTTATGTTATTTAAACCACATATCATTTAAACCGCATACGAATTTAATTGTTATCCATTTTAAGGATAAACAAAGGTAAAAGAGGGTCTCAGGTAATTATTTGAGTTTTATAAAATGTATTACTATGACCGAAAATTGTTTGATGGATAGATTCCCTCAACGTTAACCGGAGGTCCTGCTAATAAAAAAAAAAATCAATAGGGAACGCTTTCCCCAATGAGCCTTACATGGTGTGGATCAGGGGCGGAGCCAGAGTTTCGGAAATGGTTTTGGCTGAACCCAGTTGCTTTGGTTCGAATCCTGTATTTATCTTAAAAAGGTCATTGAATATATATAAATTATTAATTTAGAACTCATTAGCTTAAAACGATTAGAATCCCGAACCCATAAACTTGAAATCCTGACTCCGCCTCTGGTATGGATCAGAATTAGTCAGGGGCACTCTAGGTGGAAAACCACAATAAAAAATGTATTTCATATTTCCTAAATAGGTGTCCTACTTCCAATTTAAGTTGCTTACTATTGTGTTTACTTTCCTACAGTAGAAATATCAAACCCTCTGCGAAGAAATATATATTTACTTTTTCTTTTTAAATAAAAGTAAACATAATATTATCTTAATATAGGAAAATTTGTAAAAGCAAATATATATATATATATATATATATATATATATATATATATATATATATATATACTAGTATCTATAAACGTGTGTTGCACGTTAATAATAGCACATGATGATTTAAATATTTATTTATATAAAGGAATAATAAATTTTAATTAATGAGAGAAATTTTATATATAATACTACAACAATCATCTAAATGCCAAAAAATATTGTTGTTAGCATAATACGTGAATTCAGAATGAAAGAACATCATCAAAACTTACATAAATGATAATTTTAGTCACGTTAAGTAGATAATTATGTATTGTAGTTTAAAGGTATCTAATGTGATGGTATCTTACCGAATACTTATAGACTGTATTTTTTGGTATATGTTTCCTTCTAATGCTTTGGTTACTCTACCATAACCAGAACTCTTGTTGTCGATATTGATACCTCTATTGAAAGTGCAACATATAGTTATTCGTGCAAGAAAATATATTGTGATAAATATAGTCCAATATTTAGGATGTTTGTCCTTGTGCTTTATTTATTATAACTACAAACATAAACATACTGAAAATTATTTTAAAAAAATTTAGAAGGTTATTCTTTAGTTCCGGAAGACGAAAGTTGAATTCGGGAATAAACATATACTTAAAGCACATTTACCAATATCATAAGTTCTGCATGTATGACGTTATTGTCAAAAATTCTATATACCATATGTGTACTATTACATAAGCTATTCAGCGGATCTAAGTTTTCAGTAGCACGGCGGGCATATTTTTCTTCAAAATCAACCTATATGCAATGCAAGATTAATTTTAACTTAGTCTATTATATATATGGTGACACTAACATACGTAAGAAATAATGAACTTGAGAACAAACATGTATGGTAGAAGGCCATTTAGTATTAAAGTATTTACGTATTCTTCTTAGTAGCAATTGTTGGTATCATCTTTTGCTGAGTCAAAACTGAAAAATGTTTTATTTTTACTATAAA